ATTTTATATATGTTAAAAAAAATTGATAAAAAAAAATGAGAAAAGCCCCCTAAAAAAAAAAAAAAAAAGGATAGAAACGGCTCCTCATTTCAGGGCCACTAGGGAAGGTAAGAGGTGCTGGACAAGAGAAAGAAAATAAACACTTTAGAAGTAAAAAGCAAGAAAAAAAAAGGAAAACTAGAAAAAAGGAGAGAAGAACACTAAAGGAAGAAGTCCAAATGTATCAATAACCAGAATTAACAAAAATGGACAACTGTTGCCAATTAAAAGATGGATTGTATTTAAAAAAAAGAACCAAAATCAACTACCTAGTGTTCATGAGGTGACACTTAAGGTATCAGTATACAAAAAGGTTGAAAGAAAAGAGATGGAAAAATACACACAAGGCAAACTCGTACCCCAAAACAGCAGGAGTAGCTTTATTACTCTCAGAAATGCAGAACTTCATGACAAAAGTCTTAGTTAAGGCCTGAGAGGCTCACTAGAAGTGATCAATGATCTGATCAACTGAGAAGATAGATTCTGAAACTTGTACATGCCTAATAAAATAGTCTCTAACTATATAAAAGCAGAACATATAAAGCACAGATTGACAGAATTCCAATCTAGAGGATAAGCTGGCTATCACACTGGGAAATTCAACATATCTGACTCATAAATTGACATTATTTAGTTCATTCAGGCAAGTTAGTAAATTTACAAAATTAGTAAAGTACAGAAGATTTGATCAATAAAATCAAGGCTGATTGATATATAACTCCATACAAACTTAAAAATTCATTTTCTCAAGCATACAATGGTAATTTATAAAAACTGACCATGTTAACCAACTTCTAAGAAGTATTACCAAATAAACCATATTGTCAGTTACACTGGAAGTCATTCATCAGTGAGGAAGAACAACAACAAAAAGCCTAGCCATTTGGAAATTTAAAAACCAGTTCTAAATAACGCATGGGTCAATGAAGAGTCCTAATGGAAATTTAAGAGATCTGGTGCTGAATACCTATGAAATTACTACATATTAAAAATGTAGGCACGCAAGAAAAATGGCAGTTAGAAATAAATAAGCCTTAAATGCTTTTTAAAAAGGAGACTATCATTAAACAACTAAGCATTTAACTTACAAAGTTAGAGAATACAAACCATCCTAAAAAATAGGTGTGAACATAAAAACTTTCATTCCTGTTCAACTGTCATGGGAATAAATGAAATATTATGAAATATTACAAGAGACAAATGAGCAGGACCACAGGACAAGGTGTAAGGGATGCAACTCCAAAGGATAATTTGGGTGGGGCACACATCACTGGAAAACAAAGGTTCATCATTATCAGACTAGTTCCCAGAGCAGGGAGTCAGGGACACTGGAAAATCAGTTTCTGCAAACCCCAGAAGTCCCTAACCAAAAAATGCTTTTGTAAAAGGAGACTATCATTTAAACAATTAAGCATTTAACTTATAAAGTTAGAGAATATAAACAAAAAAAAAACCTAAAGGCTTTTATAATCACAGCACAGAAATAGCCTGTCCAGCTGAAAGTTCACCCAAGATAGTCTTTGAAAGCCAGACTAGCTGGATGATAGGGAGATTAAAAAATCGGAACCCAAATTAACAGAACAAGGCACAAAGAATCTGTTCAGAATAAAGTAACAAGCCCGAGTGAAATTTTTTAAATCTCTTGTTTTCAAAACTTCATTACTACTAAAAATACTATTAATTCCCTTAGCAGAAAAATACCATTAACAGCGGCCAGTAAACTTATGTTTCCAAATATGAAATCATTTTAAATCCTGGCAGCTATATTTTAAGGCAGCTAAACCCAAAATAACTCTTTAATCAGCTGACCAGGCCACTTTAAAGCTGCCCATAAATAATTTGGCGTACTTCTCTTTGCATCCACTTCACTTCAGAGACTTACTCTTCTTGGTTACCATCTGCTCTGACCGTACTTCTGTGACTGTGATGCTTTCATTCTATCATCCCAGCTCACAGTACAGAGCTGACCCCAGCACACCCATCAGATCTGATTAGCTCACATATCACATTACTACTAAAGGAGAATTAAAGTAATAGAGTGTACCAACCTTGGATTATTTTCTCTTTGTTAAATCTTGTTTCTCCACTAAAATAGAAAGGGGAAAGAGCTTTATTACCAAATCAGGTCATTTCTGAAGTGAGAAAAAAATCAGCAACAAAGGGTAATGATATTCATAGTGATATCATATGAACCTTGTAATAAAATATTTCATAATATAACCTGTAAAAATAAAACTTTTTCTAAAATATTTGTGATCACAAAATATTTGGATCGTGAATCGATTTTAAGTAAACTTAAAGGTGGAAAATTCCATTTTTATATGACTTCTGCTAAAATAATCTTTTTAAAATAAACATGTGGGCCAAAATACTTTCATGGGCAGCAGGACCAAAACACGAAAGGCAATCGTGGGCTGCTGGGCTGAATGAGACGTGCAAGGGAATCTCAACAGAGTGGGCAGGAAGCCCGTAACCTGCAGCCCCAGTCTCCCCAAGCCGTTCCACTTTGGAATGCTGTGAACTATCTTGCAAAGCATGCTGAAGAACTGATGCCTGAGTACTACAATTTTAAGAATTAAAAAACCAAACCAATTTTGAAGCAACCAGAAGAATGAAAGGACTGGAAACTGTCACGAAATAACCATCTATTGAGGTTGGAGGAGGAGCCCGCGGACCAGACTGCCAGGACAGGGCGGTCCTACAATAACCGCAAACCACAAGACAAGCTATCAAGGAGTCAGATGAAACTTCTTTGAGCCCTTTCAATGTGCTGAGCACTGCAGATGGAGGCAAAAGACCACGGGGGCAGGGCTGCCCTGGAGCAAGGAATTGGCTTGCTCTGTGTGGACACCGACAGAACTGCAAAGGGTGGGTACACATATGGTAAACAGGTGTCTTCAGATCCAGTTTTTTCCTCATTTGGAATCAAATGTCTATGGCCCATATTTGTATCTTTCTACATCAATGAGAGGTGAAAATCCTTTAAAGTAAACTTCATTGCCACGTGTCAGGCTCAGGAACAAAGCTACTCTGGTTCTTCACTTATGAGCTGGATTAAGTGCAAGTGCCTCTGTTTCCTCATTTGTAAAAGGGGGTATGTGTCCCTATCTCATTGGACTCGTGACAACCGAGTGAACTACTCAAAAGAGTTCTATTTATGTCGTTTTGGGACCTACTTATACAGAAATTAAAAATTTAACTTAAAACATACTTAAGCTTTTAAAAATTGTGAAATAAACAATATAAATAAGTAACTATAAAGCGAGCACCCAGGGAACACCACTCAAGGTAACAGATCACTGCCAGTCTTCTAGGCCTGGCACCTTTCCAGTCACAGTGTCCTCCCACCCAGCGGCCCACTCCTTGGGTGTCTCCATGCTCCTTTGCTTGCCGCTGTTCCAAGCTTTCCCACCCAAGCGAGCACTGGCTGGTTTGCCTGTTGAAGTTATAGTGAAGGGCTTCTTACTACATATAGTCTTCTGTGCGATGCTGTTGGCCCACACCATGAGTGCCTCAGTGTGTGGAGTGTGGATGCACCCCTGGCATTCGCGTCCCTGTGCACCACTCACTCTAAGAACTTACCACAATGTAGTATACATGCTCTGTTGCCTTTAGATATTCAGCCTGTTGCAGTTTGAGGCTGTGCTGCCACAAATATATTTGTTCAGAGAGCATCAGATTCTCTAGGCCATAGGTTCTCAAAGTATGGTCCCCAGAGCAGCATCGCTGCCACTGGAACTTGGAAGTGCAAATTCGTGGCCCCATCCCAGACCCACTAAATCAGAAAATGGAAGGTTGGGGCCCAGCAATCTATTTTGATAATCCCACTCAGTATTCTGATGCTCACTCAGGTTTGAGAGCCACCCAAGAATCAGCAAACAACTCTTTATGGAAACCAAGTTTTATTGGAATACAGTCACCCTCATTGTTTGCGTATGGCTTAGGACTACTTTCATATCGTAATGTGGAATTTCAGAGACTGTAGGGCCTGCAAAGACTAAACTATTTACTATCTGTCCCTTTAATTAAAGGTTTGCTGCCCCATGCCTAGTGGCACACACCCAGCACTAGAATCGCTGGGCCTGAGATCTTCCCCATGTTGGGCATGTTAAGGGGACACGGCCTCTGGCTGGGCCTTTGAGGAACTGGAGCTGAGGCAGACACACAGCTAAAGAAGTCAGTTAGCATGCAGATGATTACCTGGAGTCAAACATTCAGCTTCATTACATAATGCCAAAGTGCTTACACCAACTGCCCTCACCCCACAGTGCTCCACATCCTCACCAACACTTGGAAATGTAAGAGTTCTCAGTGTCTGATCTGAGCAGTTTATCTCACCTTGATTTTAATTTGTACTGCCCTGATTACTATGAAGGCTCATCACTCTGGCTTCGGTTTTCAGTGATGCACTAGTTTAGAAAGAAAAGAACCTCACGCAGATTGATTTCCTCAGATCCAGAAAAGAACTCCATCAGACCTTAGAGTCAGGGTCACAAATGTGGTGTCTGCCTGGAACCCTGTCCCTTGTTTGCTCAAATAGCTGTTGGCCAACCTCTTAGACCAGTGGTTCTCAAACCTGAGCGTGTATCAGGACCCTCCAGAGGGCTTATTAAAACAGAGTGCCAGACCTGGCTAATACACTCTCAATTCTTCAAGACCCAACAACAGCCAGCCATTCGACACAGCCTTCTTTCCTGGGCATCATATTCCACCCCACCTACCCCATTTAAATACCCGACTCCAGGTAATCATCTGCATGCTAACTGACTTCTTTAGCTGTGTGTCTGTGTCAGCTCCGTTCCTCAAAGGCCCAGCCAGAGGCCGTGTCCCCTTAACATGCCCAACGTGGGGAAGATCCTGGGAAATGGCAGAACCTCAGTGTGTGTACCATGCAGATGGAGGAGAAGAAGAGATCTGGAAACACTTATCAAAACGACAGATCGGTTTACCCCTTGATCCGGCAATCCTGTTACTGGGAAGACCTACATTCATCCATATTTAAATATTTGCTACAGTGTTATACCTAATAGCAAAAGATGGGAAATGACCTAAATGTCCATTAAGAGGTAAACAATGGTGTATCTACATAATGGAGTGCTAGGTAACTGTGTCCCCTAAAAAGAGAGTTACATATGTAAGGATATGGAAAGATCACCAAGATACATTGAGTAGAAAGAGCAAGGTGCCAAAAATATAAAAAGAATGCTATCTTTTAGAAAGGCAGGAAATAAGAACAAACATTTTGGACCTACATAGAGAAACAATGGAAGGTTGTACAAGAAACTAATAAATGTGGTCACCTATGAAGTGAGAGAACAGGAAGACCGGAGAGAACTGTCCTGATCTCTAAATATGTAAGCACAGGCTGGTTAAACTTAAAAAAAGGTATGACAAATAAGTGAAATTACACAGAAACATTTACCACTGATTAGCCATTATTATCACTGTTGCCATTAATATTAATAAAAGATGTTTTATACTCCAAAATTCGTTCAGGATAGTAAAGAAATGGAAGTGAAAGAGAATATTATTAGTCTCTTATTCACCACAGAGACAAAGCATCCAAGGCAACCAATGGGGAAGCTGTCATTTCTAATACAGAAAATGATTCCTAAACACTGGGTTCACTCCTGTCTCTGCCTAGTAATCTTGCTGAGATCAAGAATAAAAGAACTGCTTTTTAAATAGTATATCATCTTTAGACAGTGGCTCTGTACCCAATTCCATCTCCCACAAAATTCAGTGTTCCCTTCTATCCCACATTCACTCTTATATAGGAACCTCAAATGATTTTTGCATACTTTATGTGGATCATAAACTCTCTTGCTCATTTTATAAATTTAAAATAAAGGGTAAGGAGAAATTTAATTATTTTGCCACTCCACATCTTTACAAATCAAAGTTCAGCAAAACTGATAACTTTTTGTACGCTTCCTGAAAAGATAGCTCAGATTTTAATTCAATTCCAGTGGCTGATTTGATAAAAGGTCCAGAATAAAAGATTATGTCATCAAAATATCATCCTATAAAAACTGGAATCCCAATACTTTGATGCTTTGTAATGGCACTGCCATTACAGTAAAAGGAAAAAAAACCAGCTAGATATAATGAAGAATTTCATTTAGCTTAAGTCAATAAAGACTGCTGCAGACATACTGCATTATTAACAAGTTACTGGCATTCCTTGGGCTTTTTTTTTTTATCTTTGAATCACTTTATAAATATTACAGAGTAGGAATCTGAAAATTTAATTTTTTTCTAAAAACTTCCATAAATATTTACCTTTATAGCTTTTATCAGCTTTATCAAGATATTTGTATAAACCCTTAAAGCAACTGTTTAAAGTTCATTTTTTGGGGAATGAGAAAAATAGATGGCTAAAATAGTTTTACTACCAATCTACTTCCCTTAACCGAAGTTGGCTTGTGACAGCAGCAGGGAAGGTGGAGGGAGCTGAAAGGTCAGAGGAATATATTTGAAGGAGTCAGGAATAACACCACTCATTTGCAAGACCTGCAGTGTGATCCATTTCCAAAACAGAACACCGGACTTTGCAAGAATGCAAATGCTTATGCCAAGTAGTTAAGTCTCATGACAAGCCATTTACAGGCCCTACAAACATACATCACTGGTTTTGTAGATTATCACACTGTTCTTCACTTTAAAAGACCATTTATTTTGCTAGTTCAGGTTTATATTCTATAGCGTTTCTTTAGAAGTCATATAGGAAGCACAATTACCCAATCCTATCCTGGTAAAGAATTCAAATTCAATAGACAAGTACTCAGTTTGCCACGAGAGAGAAATCATGGAAAGTTAGTATATATTTGGGGCAAGTGTTCAAAACAGATATACTTTAGTGTACATGGAAAATGCCTCACTTGTTATTTTATCATGAATACAGCTTTATCTTAATGCCTGTACACCAATCAATTCATTTAAAAATAGAAAAGATTTCAAGGGCTAGTAACACAAAGAGGTTCACTGGATGGTCTGAGGGGGAAAAATGTAAGATAACCAATTCATGATATATTTTTGTTTTTGTATATATATTAGTACTAGTTGCTAAGGCTCTCCTAAGTGATCAACCCTATTCCCACAAATATCACAGCAACACAACAGTTACATATATCCTTATAAAAGTTTACAGGTGACCCAATATTTACTTTGCTTGCTTGATTAATGACCAGAAAAATGACTAGTATTCAACAGTAAGTAACTGTCAGAGGAGGTGGAGTAAGAAAAATAAATTAATTTTGCTATCAATAACTTTACTATTTCATCACCTTTACAATAAATAAAATTTAGTTTAGAAAGTTTTTGTTTGTTTTAAGAGTCAGTTAAAAATGGCAGTGAAATGGGATGGTTTTTCAGACACCTACACATTAAGATTTCAAGGGAACTAGGGCCCTCATCGTGTTTGTAGTTGATGGAAATGCCAACCTACATATACTGGAGTTTTCAATAATGCTGTGCTATAAGCTCATGAAAAGTTAGTTTAGTTTAATAATATTAGTAGATTTAAACTTTGAAAGCTTAGGCATTCTATCCTAAAAGTGATACACACTGGTACTTCCAAGTATGATGAAGATAAACACCCATACACTCACAGCACAAGGTTTATAAGGGATTTGGCTGAACTTAGAGAAATTGCATTTTAAAAGTTTTCTTGCATTATCTGAAGAGACACTGTTCAATAAAAGTATCCAACTCAAAAAATATTGATCATGGCATCAATTTCGAAGCATTTGACTGTCTTACACAATCAGGTAGTAGAAAACACAGGTGCCAGCTCCCTATATTGTGCTAAATGATGCACAATCTTGCTGATGCTATTAAGCATCACTGCACTTAACTATGGTGATTACCAATCAAGTCTGAAATTCTTTCTTTTCGGAAAAGAATTGTCATTTTTTCACTTTGAATAAAACAGAACAGAGCACACTATTCTTATAATTCTTCATAATTACATTAGGAGAAATAAAATGTAGCCTCTCAAATGGCTGGTGAGATTCAAGCAATCTACAAATACTAGGGTTTAACTCAGTAAAGTAGGAAGCAGAAGAGCATAGTGGTTAAGAGGATGTACAGTCATATGGCTTTGTCCAAATCCTGCCTCCCCCACTTGCCATGTGACTCTATGTCTCAATTTCCTCACTTGCAAATTGAGCAGTTCTTACCTCACTGAATTGTTGTCAGAATTAAATATACATCTGTGCCTAGTACATGATACTTTATTGACTTTTTTTAAAACTGATTCTTCAAATATTTCTATAAGGAATCAATTTTTAAAAATCAAGCCCTTAGGAAGCAGGGAGGCAATAAAATCCACATTCATGCAAATATCATCTATTAAGAATCTAAAGAGTCATCACCTTATTTTTCAAGGGATGGTTTAACTCAGATTTCCTACAACTTCTGAGTTTCAATTATATGTCGGATGCTGTGATGGCTGGGTCAAGACACAGAAAGTGCTCTAACATCGGAAGAAACGGCAATCAGGACTCTAGTTCCTGTTCTGGTGCTGATTAGCTTAAGTAGGTCATAAAATGGTGTTAAAATGGAGCATTTTATAAATGAGGCGGCCTCATCCAGCGTTCTACAAAATGGAGAAGGGAGGGAGACGAACTCAATTTCTAGTTCAGTCTTTAAAATCCTGTGAATCCTAAGGGGACAACTTAAGATGATTCCCAAGATTATCTTCCTATAAAGGATGAATGGGATAAACAGGACAGCAGTTAAAGTCAGCCTGACAAGGTTAAAACACCTTAGTGTTTCTCAAGTGCTCCATTAAGTCAACGATGGTATTTATCTGTGTAACCCAGTCCACTGGCACACAGTGCTTACTCAAGTGTTGGTCTGGTAAACTGTACATACACATTTGAAGACTAACTGCATTTTCATTATAGTTGGCCTTATAGAAGCATGCTGTTTAATTCTCAGATATATTTCTTCCCCTCCACTGTGCTCGTCATTCTACCTTTCTCTCATTTAATTCTCACACTAACCCCATTTTATAATCAGGAAACTGAGGTCGTAAAGATTAAATCGGATAACACCAAGCCCAGGTCGCAAGGCTCCCGGCTGGAGCCCGTATTCTAATCTAGGTCTATCTTGCATGAAAAATCTGTGCTCTTAACCACCCTGAATTTCACTTCCCACTAACATTCAGCAAGTAAGTGTTAAGGAGGAAAAAAGATAAGAGACAAAGACATATCTGCAGTTAGCTCCGTGTAATGTCATGATAAAAATATTTGTTCGCTGTGAAGCGGTCGGTTGAGACCAGGGCGGAGGTCTCGCCCCAGCAATGTAAACTCTGAAGGGAAGAAATAAATCTCAGCTATAGGCCCGCGGGGCTAAATGCCCTGGAAAAAAAGAAAGGAAAACGGGGGTTTGGGGGAAAGCGAGACGCAGAGAGTGCCTAGCGGAAGGTAGCCAGCATCAAAAATATCTTCCTTGGATGAGCTATTCTGCAGATTCTTTGCGATCTGCTGGGGAGCACGGAAAAGTCCGGAGACCAGCTTGTCTTTCTTGAGCTTTAGCTCTGCCAAGTGGCCGGGGACCTGTATGTAACACGCGACTGACGCTACTGAAGACCTGCCCTCCTGCCTCAGCGCTGCTAGGGGAAAGAGCGGTCGAAATGGGGTAACCGGAACGAAAATACCTAGAAAACAGCCCGGTCCCAGACAACCCTCCGAGGGCTGAGCAAGCAGAGCAGAGGGTTTTTGTTTTTTTTTTTCGGTCCTTCACCCGTCCAGGAACTCCAGGAAAAGGAGGAATGCACCCTGCCGCAGCTATACTCACTGCCGGACAACGGTCAGGGCGAAGCGCGTCATGTTCCTGGGGCCGGCCCGGGGGTAAGCCACAGCCCAGCCGCCCGCCCGGCACCCTGCCACCCGCTGCTCCGCACTGCGGGACCTCCTCGCCTACACCACTTCCGCCAGCCTCGCCGCCGGCCGGCTCGGCGGCGATAGGCCGAGGCGGCCGCGTACGTCAGCACTAGAAAGCCAGTCAGCGCGGCGGGAGACCGCCAGGTCGGAGGAGACTGGGAAAGGAAGAGGCCCCGCCCAGGGCCGTGGCGCTTGCGCCCCTGCGCGCAGGCCTTTGATTGGTGCGCGGCAGGTGCGTGCGGGCTCCGCCCTGGAGGCCGCGGTGCGGGCGGTTCCTGCCCGGGCAAGCCTGTCCGCTGCGGACTCGGTGTAGCTTGGCAGACAGCTCTGATTTGGAGTTGCTCTGATTACAGGTTAGAATGCAGGCAGGAGCCATCCCACGGTAGTTCTACTCTGTCAAGCACATCGGACCTGTGCGGTTTAGCTGTTAACCTGATACTGGGGACAGGGTCAGCCCGGGCTGCGGACTGGGACCCACCCAGGTTTCAGTCCGCAGCTGCGCGCGGACGGACACCCTCAGAGCTTTAGTCAGGCCTCTTAGTTGGGGCCCTCTTCCAAGCTGGGCCTCATCCTTGGCTTGCTGAGTCCGGTTTTACCAAAGAGTTCTGAGGAGCCAGTTTATCCAGAATCCCCTCACCCTTGATTTCCAATCAAGCTACTCTTCCTCCACCCTTGTTTCTAATCAGCTTCCTCTTCCTGCTAACCCGTAATATCTAACCAAGTTCCTTTTAGTAATTTCCGTTCTCTCCCTCACCTTTCCCCGGCTATAGGTCTATCTCCATTGGTCCCTTTTGTATTTGGACTCGAACTCAATCTCACCCCCATTGCAGTGGTCTTGATTAAAGTCTTTCCTGCTGTTTTTTAAAGAGCATCCGGTGAATAGTATCTCTTACAGCCTCCCAGCGCCTTGGGAGACCTAACCTCAATAATCCTCAGTTACATGCTAGGTAAAATGGGTAACAGCTCTCAGACATCACACAGGTAAGAATTACTCATGTTAGCTTTACATTGGTAAAGCTTGATAATATTACTTTTACATTGTCTTCCATGCATTTTTACCTAAATTCTGTTTGATAGTGCCTTTCTTTCCCCCTTGAATTCCCAATTATATATGAGAAGATGGGTTTAGAGAATTCCACTGATACAAGGCACACTTAGATTTATAGGCACACATTTCAAAACAGTTTCACATGTATAATCACATATGGCCCTCAGAACAACACTGAAGTAAGTGGGGTGAGCTATATTATCTTTACTTAGGAGACGAGAAATCTGGCCTACAGAGAAACTAAGCAGGTTGCTAAGTTCACATCTGGTCATTGGTGACACAGGACTAGTTCAGAAATTCTTAAGTCTACTTGCACATTGGAACCATCTAGGACCTTTTGAATGCCAGGTTGCACCCCAGAACAGTTAAGTCGGAACTTCTGCAGGAGGAACACAGGCATCGGTAGTTTTTAAATCCCCAGCTGTTTCCAAGGTGCGGACAATTTTGGGAACTAGAAGTGGAAAGCCATGCTTCTCAAATGAATATGCACACAAATCACCTGGGATCTTAAAATACAAATTCTGATTTAGTAGATTTGTGGTGGGAGCCTTCAGCATCTCTAACAAGCTCCCAGGAAAATATTTTCAGAATGAGTGTGGAGAGAGAATTCAGAGAGCCCTAGCAGGGAGCCCAGAATACCAAGGGGGTACACTACCTTCATGCAGTAGATACTGCATATATATGTATTATGAATACCTGAATGAATGAGTCTGGCCAATGGAGCCTCTTCGAAATTGGAACTAGAAAAATGTAATTAATAAGGTCAGCTGTGAGGTCTAAAGCAGAAAGCATCAAGAGACACCATGAAATGGATTAGAGCTATGAGGGAACTTGTAGACCGAAACTACAGAGAAACGGAAAGCACAAATGATACAAACTCAAGAAATAATACAAGCATAACTTAGCCTATACCAACAAATCCAGAATTGTGTCATATTGTGTCTTGCTAATGGGTTTCAGCCCCCGGCAAGTTCACTATGGATTCAGTGTGACCAAAGAAAATGACAGTAAAACGTTCTTGGGCTGAAAGGGTTTATTACCCTGCTTGTTCTCCCAGCAGTAGGTCGAGCACTAGCAGTCTCTGCCTCCGCCCAGAGTACTGGGCGGGGCTCTCTATATAGCGCAGTAATAGCTTATTGCCTAGGGTGTGGAAGCAGTAGCCTAGCAACAGGCCACTTACATCTAGTGGTTTAAGCTCAGTGGGAATCCTGGCCAAAGGAACCCCAATTTCCCCACAATGTGACACAACAAAGCGCCATTTTTCATCAGAAACAAAAACACGTGATTTGACAGGTTGTCAACAGAAGTTTTTCAGTGGTTATTTCTGGCTGCTATCTAAACAAAGTTTAAACAAACTCCCTGTTCATCTTCTAAGCTGCAGGGCAGTCCCCAGTCCATTGAGGGAATAATGAAGGGCAATGTCCATTCTTTGAAAGCTCGTTTTTCCCCCTGATTCTTAAAATTTATGAAAAATTATTTTTAAACATATTTCTTGGATCGTTTTTTAAATCAATATCAGTGCTTTATGATTTTCTAAGTTTCTCCCATTATATCATCTAATTTTTTAGATAAGTGATTCATTTGACAAACTGATCATAACAGATATTCCTTATTTATTTAACAAATTTTGACTGAATCCTTAACTAAGTTTCAACTCTTTTGATAGGAGCCAGGGAAATGATGAAACAGAGCCAGTTCTTACTCCCAGAGCTCTAGTTTGAAAAACCACCCGGAGCATAGCAACCTGGTGTCAGACTCAGTTCTGGATCTGCAGAGATGGGAGATCAGGTAACCTTTATATGTCTTAATTTCTTCATCTGTAGAATAGAAATTACAACCCAGAGTTATTAGTATTAAGTGAGACAGAGTGGAAGGCTGTTTTTAGTTAGGCTTTACGACTATATAGTCAGAGAACTATGAAGAGAAAGGGTTTTATTTTAAAAACAGAACCTGCAAGGTATCTGGTACTCTGGCAGCTTGACGGACCAGGGACCAGGTAGGTAGTGTCTGCTTCCCTCTGTGTGTCTGTCGGGTTCTCTCGTTACCTTTTCTTGCTCAAATAAAGATTTAATTATAGTCTTCACTGAAGGTGAGCCAAGTGTGAAAATACTCTCTCTGCTTGGAAAATGAGATCAGGGAGGAAAGTGTGGATTAGCCTCAGTTTCCCCAGGACTTAAATACTTTCAACAATAGCACATGAAATCAATTCTATTGACCAAATGCCAGCCTCTTGGTTAATCAGAGTCAGTGAAATCTGTACTCTTCTGGTTTATAATTTTTTCACTGCAGGATTTTTTTCTTATTCTGATAGTAAGACTAAAATAGTTACAGAATTAAATCCTCAGGACTTCAACGATCTTTAAGGATATCTGTCTTTTAAATTTGTGGAGACTTGTTGTGTGAGTGAGGCCACAGTCATTTTGTATAAATATTTTTTGTGTTGTTTGGGAAGAAAGTGGGTTCATTCATATTGGGTGCACAGTCTTATTATATATGCCTGAATCAAGTATTTATTGGGTTGTTCAAATCTTTAAAAATTGATAACTCAATAAGTAAGTAAATCTAAAAACCTAAAAAGGAAACCTTCTGTGGACTGTATCCTCAAATTATGCCTTGAGTCTGTCACTCCCCCTTGTTACCTTACTACATCCTGTAATCCATCATCTCTATCATCTCTTGTCTGCATGACTGATCACCTGTTAACATAGCTCTGCTGCTAGACTTTTACTCAGCAATAAACTGCCCCCTACTCAGTCTTCTCAGTGATGTCTGTATAATCTCATCGTGTCACTCCCTTGCTGGAAAATTCTCTCTGGAGCCTCATTACCTTGAGAATAAAGACCCAACTCCTTCAAGGCCTCAGTGACCTGCCCTCCAAGGTCTCCAGTCCCGTTTCCCTATTTGCTCTTCACCAAGCTCCAGCCACACTGCTTCTCTCTACTCCTAGACCATGTTATCTCATGCCTGCCTCAGGGCCTTTGCATCTTCTCTTCCTTCTGTTTACAAAGTTCTTTCCCAAGATGTGTGTGTGCCTACCTCCTTCTCAGCCTTCAAATCTTAACTCAAAAATCACCTCCTCAAGGAGCCTTCCCTCAAACAAAGTAGCCTGCCCAGTCACCATCATCCTATTTTTTTATCTGAAATTATATCATTTATTTACTGTTTTTACAGGTCCATTGCTTGCCTTTCTTTGCTATAATGAAAATTCCTCAAGTGTAGGGACTATCTTGTTCTCTTTTATGTCTTCAGCACCTAGAATCATGCCAGATGCATTGTAGAGGCCCAATCAATATTTGTCATCATTAGAAATCATATTCCTAAAGAATAATGATATGGTAACATCCCCCTGATATGTGATTAAATGGAAAAAAAAAGTAGGATAGGCAACTGTTCACTATGAGCCTGATTTTAAAGAAAAATTACATATGTACATATATATAAAAAAGACAAGAAATATGTCATTTGTGCCCAGGTTTTCTCTAGAAGACATTTACAATGTTAAAAATGCTTGTGTTTTTCATTACTAAAGGATTTTCTTCCACAAAGAGGTGCAGATAATTAAGCAAGACGTCTTTGACAAAGAAAATTATCCAGAGAGTAGATAAGGGAGAATATATGTATTGTCCTATTATGTAGCCACTGTAAATCCTAAGGCAAGCCAACTTACTGTTATTACTATTTAATAGAGTGGAACTCTGAATATTCAGAAATAATCTTAGTTGACAGGTAGTGTGTATTCTTGTATTTGTTCTGTTAACTTCTGATTATGTCACTTTATGATTCTAAGATAAAGCTTTTTAAGACTCACCAGAATAAAGACAAAAAGATTTTAAGCTTAAGACTAAAAATGCACAAACCGACATCAGATATGAGTATAAACTGAGAGTCTTCAAGATCAACAGAGAATTGTGATTTTGTAATTAATCAAGTTCTTTCTAACATTACTACTTTGCTTTCTCCTTCTGTTACTTCAAAGTTGGAAATTATAGTGGCCTATGCAAATTTAATAAAAGAGAAAGTCTTGGACTTTTACTGGCAGGGGATTTTCTTGCTCCACCCACTGTCATGATTGATTACATGCTGTACCCTGATGGAAAAACAGAATTTCTAGGCCAACAGAAAATCACAAATACGTGGTAAACCTCAGCTTTGTCCAGCGACTGAGAATAATAATGTGACCAATGATCCAAGGGAGAAAGAACTGCCAGCCCCACTGTGCCCAGTGCCCCATCAGCTTGATGTCTGAAGGTGGAGGGAGATTTGTTTTGGCAGCCACTCTGCCAACATCTGACATCTGTCACCATAGTCCCCCATTATTACTAGTTCCAAAAAAATCATATCTGCCAGTCAAAAGCTTTTCTGCTGATGGCTAGTGGAAGGATCCCTTCTTGGCCTGGCGTGCTTCTGGGAAACGCCCCTTTGTTTGAATACATGTATCCACTAATCCCTTTTCATGCCTTGCCTTTTACCTGTCACTTAGTGGAGAAGAGAACTTTCCCCAAGCCCAAGTTCATTGCTTTTTGGAAGAATGGCCACAGCACAAAGGGGATGCTATGGAAGTTGTAAATACTTGTGGTTTTACTGCCATGGTATCTAGTCGTCCCCTCCACAGAATCCACAGGGAAACAATACTTCACCTACCCCCTCACCCCCCACCCACCCCCACCGCTATGCCTGCACCCCCCTGCCTTTTTGGGAAGTTAACATTTGCATATGTAACACCTTTAAAAATAATTAACACAGTATTGATGTGTTTGTTTATGTTTACACTGTTTGATTCTTGTTGAAGCTTCCTATATATTAGGCACTTTCCATAGACTTCCTCACTTAATTCTTTTGCCCACCAAGCTTTCCTCTTTTACAGAGAATAAGCAGAGCCTCAGAGCTCATTCAGCTAATGCATGGCAGCCCTGGGTTCAAACCCAGATCTTCTTGCTTAAGACAAGCTCTCTTTCCCCTACAGCATCCTGACTCTCCCTGTCCTAGGGGAGTGACCGTTTGCATGTAAGGTGTGAATGTACGGCACAGTCAGTGATCCTCAAGGCAGGCGGCCAGCACTGGGGCTGCTGATCGGGAAGGCCAAGACTCTTGCTTTTGCCAGAGCCCTGACACAATGCTAAGGAAAGGAGAAGATCTTCAGGGCCCTGAAATCCTGGTCTCTTGGCCCTAGTATCTGGAAAGATGTAGGGTATGGACAAGTAAGTCAGCAGGAAGCCCATATTGAAGCAACCCTTCCATAGTGTCCTCATTTTGAATTAACAGAGACTATGGAAAATGTAAGTGAATGAGTGCTTTTAAAACACTGATGGCATCAAGACTTTCCAGAAAGGTACTGACCCAGATGTCCAGAGGCTCAGGGAGCTGAGCCATGAATGGAAACCTGCAGCAGCCATGAGTCCTCTGACCGCTGCCTACACTGCTAAGTGATCCTAAAGTAAGAACAGCAGGAAGCTCTGCAAAGCCTCAGGTTACAGCATCCACCGCAGGATGGTATTTTTTGAAATAATCATCAGGGCTTTTCCTCCAGTATTTTCCCCTGCACTTTTGTCCCCTTTTATAAGGAAGGGAAGCTGACAAAGAGCTAAGACAAAAAATCTCTCTCCTTGGACAATAATGAAAGTGACCTTGACATAAGGAAAGGCTTCCCTGTCCCCCGGACCTTGGTGGGCTTCCCAAAGGTCCCACCTCCAAACTGGGCTTCAACAAGAATCAGCCATTGCAGATATATACAAACATATCAATATTGTGTTGATTATTTTTAAAGGTGTTAAATATGCAAATGTTACTGCCCAAAAAGACAGGGGTGGAGGGGAACATTGTTTTTCTGTGGATTCAGGTGAAGGGAGGCTGGTTACCATGGCAGTTAAACCATGAACATTCACAATTTCCACAGAGTCCCCTTCGTGCTGTGGCTGTTCTTCCATTCTCTGGCTGAGCAGAGGAGGCAGGGAGTGTTGGAGGGGAACAATTACATAAATGTTGGTGGGTCCCTGAGGAATAGGGACAAACTAGCAATGTGATTTTTTAAATGACATCAGTTTTGGGGGTCAGGAAAAGTAGTGGATATATAGCACCCTAGACAGAAGGTTGGGTGATCCTTTGGCTAGCATGGTATGGGAGCAGCAGAATATTTCTTGTCACCCAAGAGTAGCAAAAAAAGTCTGAAAGCCACAGTTACCATGTTTCCTTTAGGTGCACCCTTCTTTAGAATATTTCAGAATGGGCAGCCTGTGCCATATAACCCAGATGCTGCAAGCATTCTGTCTTTGTCAGTTCAGGCTACTATAGAATATGATAGGCTGGGTGGCTTAAGCGACAAATGCTTATTTCTTACAGTTCTGGAGGTTGGCAGTCTGAGATCAGAGTCCCAGGATGGCCGGGTTCTGGTGAGAACCCTCTTCCAGCAGCAGGTTGCCAACTTCTCTTCTATCCTCATGTGACAGAGAGAGAGCTAGCTTAGCCCTCTGGCTTCTTATAAGGGCACAGATCCCATTTGTGAGGCCTCCATCCTCATGACCTCATTACCTCTGGAAGGTCCCAGCTCCTGATGCCTTTGCACTGGAGTTAGGTTTCAACAAAGGAATTTGTGGGAGATACATGCAGTCCATAACACATTTTAATCAAGGGGTGCACACTAAGGGTGACCCCCTGGTGTCTTAATCAGGAGAACCGTATTACACGAGACTTTGGTTATCTGTATTTTGACAGATAATGGATACTTTGATTAGTATTCTCAATTTCAGAAATGAAATTTTATTGCTGAAAATAGCAGCCTGTCAAGTTAAATATGGGCCTCATTGAAATCAAGACAGGTGTATTGAGTTACTTGAACATCTTAGACCCTCCTCACCTCTGAAAGAGCAGTGAAGAATCTAGGGACTCTGACCTGTAGCTCCCATCATTTCAACAGCCCTCCATCACTTACTCCCAGAGCTCTAGTTTGAAAAACCACCCGGAGCATAGCAACCTGGTGTCAGACTCAGTTCTGGATCTGCAGAGATGGGAGATCAGGTAACCTTTATATGTCTTAATTTCTTCATCTGTAGAATAGAAATTACAACCCAGAGTTATTAGTATTAAGTGAGACAGAGTGGAAGGCTGTTTTTAGTTAGGCTTTACGACTATATAGTCAGAGAACTATGAAGAGAAAGGGTTTTATTTTAAAAACAGAACCTGCAAGGTATCTGGTACTCTGGCAGCTTGACGGACCAGGGACCAGGTAGGTAGTGTCTGCTTCCCTCTGTGTGTCTGTCGGGTTCTCTCGTTACCTTTTCTTGCTCAAATAAAGATTTAATTATAGTCTTCACTGAAGGTGAGCCAAGTGTGAAAATACTCTCTCTGCTTGGAAAATGAGATCAGGGAGGAAAGTGTGGATTAGCCTCAGTTTCCCCAGGACTTAAATACTTTCAACAATAGCACATGAAATCAATTCTATTGACCAAATGCCAGCCTCTTGGTTAATCAGAGTCAGTGAAATCTGTACTCTTCTGGTTTATAATTTTTTCACTGCAGGATTTTTTTCTTATTCTGATAGTAAGACTAAAATAGTTACAGAATTAAATCCCCAGGACTTCAACGATCTTTAAGGATATCTGTCTTTTAAATTTGTGGAGACTTGTTGTGTGAGTGAGGCCACAGTCATTTTGTATAAATATTTTTTGTGTTGTTTGGGAAGAAAGTGGGTTCATTCATATTGGGTGCACAGTCTTATTATATATGCCTGAATCAAGTATTTATTGGGTTGTTCAAATCTTTAAAAATTGATAACTCAATAAGTAAGTAAATCTAAAAACCTAAAAAGGAAACCTTCTGTGGACTGTATCCTCAAATTATGCCTTGAGTCTGTCACTCCCCCTTGTTACCTTACTACATCCTGTAATCCATCATCTCTATCATCTCTTGTCTGCATGACTGATCACCTGTTAACATAGCTCTGCTGCTAGACTTTTACTCAGCAATAAACTGCCCCCTACTCAGTCTTCTCAGTGATGTCTGTATAATCTCATCGTGTCACTCCCTTGCTGGAAAATTCTCTCTGGAGCCTCATTACCTTGAGAATAAAGACCCAACTCCTTCAAGGCCTCAGTGACCTGCCCTCCAAGGTCTCCAGTCCCGTTTCCCTATTTGCTCTTCACCAAGCTCCAGCCACACTGCTTCTCTCTACTCCTAGACCATGTTATCTCATGCCTGCCTCAGGGCCTTTGCATCTTCTCTTCCTTCTGTTTACAAAGTTCTTTCCCAAGATGTGTGTGTGCCTACCTCCTTCTCAGCCTTCAAATCTTAACTCAAAAATCACCTCCTCAAGGAGCCTTCCCTCAAACAAAGTAGCCTGCCCAGTCACCATCATCCTATTTTTTTATCTGAAATTATATCATTTATTTACTGTTTTTACAGGTCCATTGCTTGCCTTTCTTTGCTATAATGAAAATTCCTCAAGTGTAGGGACTATCTTGTTCTCTTTTATGTCTTCAGCACCTAGAATCATGCCAGATGCATTGTAGAGGCCCAATCAATATTTGTCATCATTAGAGATCATATTCCTAAAGAATAATGATATGGTAACATCCCCCTGATATGTGATTAAATGGAAAAAAAAAGTAGGATAGGCAACTGTTCACTATGAGCCTGATTTTAAAGAAAAATTACATATGTACATATATATAAAAAAGACAAGAAATATGTCATTTGTGCCCAGGTTTTCTCTAGAAGACATTTACAATGTTAAAAATGCTTGTGTTTTTCATTACTAAAGGATTTTCTTCCACAAAGAGGTGCAGATAATTAAGCAAGACGTCTTTGACAAAGAAAATTATCCAGAGAGTAGATAAGGGAGAATATATGTATTGTCCTATTATGTAGCCACTGTAAATCCTAAGGCAAGCCAACTTACTGTTATTACTATTTAATAGAGTGGAACTCTGAATATTCAGAAATAATCTTAGTTGACAGGTAGTGTGTATTCTTGTATTTGTTCTGTTAACTTCTGATTATGTCACTTTATGATTCTAAGATAAAGCTTTTTAAGACTCACCAGAATAAAGACAAAAAGATTTTAAGCTTAAGACTAAAAATGCACAAACCGACATCAGATATGAGTATAAACTGAGAGTCTTCAAGATCAACAGAGAATTGTGATTTTGTAATTAATCAAGTTCTTTCTAACATTACTACTTTGCTTTCTCCTTCTGTTACTTCAAAGTTGGAAATTATAGTGGCCTATGCAAATTTAATAAAAGAGAAAGTCTTGGACTTTTACTGGCAGGGGATTTTCTTGCTCCACCCACTGTCATGATTGATTACATGCTGTACCCTGATGGAAAAACAGAATTTCTAGGCCAACAGAAAATCACAAATACGTGGTAAACCTCAGCTTTGTCCAGCGACTGAGAATAATAATGTGACCAATGATCCAAGGGAGAAAGAACTGCCAGCCCCACTGTGCCCAGTGCCCCATCAGCTTGATGTCTGAAGGTGGAGGGAGATTTGTTTTGGCAGCCACTCTGCCAACATCTGACATCTGTCACCATAGTCCCCCATTATTACTAGTTCCAAAAAAATCATATCTGCCAGTCAAAAGCTTTTCTGCTGATGGCTAGTGGAAGGATCCCTTCTTGGCCTGGCGTGCTTCTGGGAAACGCCCCTTTGTTTGAATACATGTATCCACTAATCCCTTTTCATGCCTTGCCTTTTACCTGTCACTTAGTGGAGAAGAGAACTTTCCCCAAGCCCAAGTTCATTGCTTTTTGGAAGAATGGCCACAGCACAAAGGGGATGCTATGGAAGTTGTAAATACTTGTGGTTTTACTGCCATGGTATCTAGTCGTCCCCTCCACAGAATCCACAGGGAAACAATACTTCACCTACCCCCTCACCCCCCACCCACCCCCACCGCTATGCCTGCACCCCCCTGCCTTTTTGGGAAGTTAACATTTGCATATGTAACACCTTTAAAAATAATTAACACAGTATTGATGTGTTTGTTTATGTTTACACTGTTTGATTCTTGTTGAAGCTTCCTATATATTAGGCACTTTCCATAGACTTCCTCACTTAATTCTTTTGCCCACCAAGCTTTCCTCTTTTACAGAGAATAAGCAGAGCCTCAGAGCTCATTCAGCTAATGCATGGCAGCCCTGGGTTCAAACCCAGATCTTCTTGCTTAAGACAAGCTCTCTTTCCCCTACAGCATCCTGACTCTCCCTGTCCTAGGGGAGTGACCGTTTGCATGTAAGGTGTGAATGTACGGCACAGTCAGTGATCCTCAAGGCAGGCGGCCAGCACTGGGGCTGCTGATCGGGAAGGCCAAGACTCTTGCTTTTGCCAGAGCCCTGACACAATGCTAAGGAAAGGAGAAGATCTTCAGGGCCCTGAAATCCTGGTCTCTTGGCCCTAGTATCTGGAAAGATGTAGGGTATGGACAAGTAAGTCAGCAGGAAGCCCATATTGAAGCAACCCTTCCATAGTGTCCTCATTTTGAATTAACAGAGACTATGGAAAATGTAAGTGAATGAGTGCTTTTAAAACACTGATGGCATCAAGACTTTCCAGAAAGGTACTGACCCAGATGTCCAGAGGCTCAGGGAGCTGAGCCATGAATGGAAACCTGCAGCAGCCATGAGTCCTCTGACCGCTGCCTACACTGCTAAGTGATCCTAAAGTAAGAACAGCAGGAAGCTCTGCAAAGCCTCAGGTTACAGCATCCACCGCAGGATGGTATTTTTTGAAATAATCATCAGGGCTTTTCCTCCAGTATTTTCCCCTGCACTTTTGTCCCCTTTTATAAGGAAGGGAAGCTGACAAAGAGCTAAGACAAAAAATCTCTCTCCTTGGACAATAATGAAAGTGACCTTGACATAAGGAAAGGCTTCCCTGTCCCCCGGACCTTGGTGGGCTTCCCAAAGGTCCCACCTCCAAACTGGGCTTCAACAAGAATCAGCCATTGCAGATATATACAAACATATCAATATTGTGTTGATTATTTTTAAAGGTGTTAAATATGCAAATGTTACTGCCCAAAAAGACAGGGGTGGAGGGGAACATTGTTTTTCTGTGGATTCAGGTGAAGGGAGGCTGGTTACCATGGCAGTTAAACCATGAACATTCACAATTTCCACAGAGTCCCCTTCGTGCTGTGGCTGTTCTTCCATTCTCTGGCTGAGCAGAGGAGGCAGGGAGTGTTGGAGGGGAACAATTACATAAATGTTGGTGGGTCCCTGAGGAATAGGGACAAACTAGCAATGTGATTTTTTAAATGACATCAGTTTTGGGGGTCAGGAAAAGTAGTGGATATATAGCACCCTAGACAGAAGGTTGGGTGATCCTTTGGCTAGCATGGTATGGGAGCAGCAGAATATTTCTTGTCACCCAAGAGTAGCAAAAAAAGTCTGAAAGCCACAGTTACCATGTTTCCTTTAGGTGCACCCTTCTTTAGAATATTTCAGAATGGGCAGCCTGTGCCATATAACCCAGATGCTGCAAGCATTCTGTCTTTGTCAGTTCAGGCTACTATAGAATATGATAGGCTGGGTGGCTTAAGCGACAAATGCTTATTTCTTACAGTTCTGGAGGTTGGCAGTCTGAGATCAGAGTCCCAGGATGGCCGGGTTCTGGTGAGAACCCTCTTCCAGCAGCAGGTTGCCAACTTCTCTTCTATCCTCATGTGACAGAGAGAGAGCTAGCTTAGCCCTCTGGCTTCTTATAAGGGCACAGATCCCATTTGTGAGGCCTCCATCCTCATGACCTCATTACCTCTGGAAGGTCCCAGCTCCTGATGCCTTTGCACTGGAGTTAGGTTTCAACAAAGGAATTTGTGGGAGATACATGCAGTCCATAACACATTTTAATCAAGGGGTGCACACTAAGGGTGACCCCCTGGTGTCTTAATCAGGAGAACCGTATTACACGAGACTTTGGTTATCTGTATTTTGACAGATAATGGATACTTTGATTAGTATTCTCAATTTCAGAAATGAAATTTTATTGCTGAAAATAGCAGCCTGTCAAGTTAAATATGGGCCTCATTGAAATCAAGACAGGTGTATTGAGTTACTTGAACATCTTAGACCCTCCTCACCTCTGAAAGAGCAGTGAAGAATCTAGGGACTCTGACCTGTAGCTCCCATCATTTCAACAGCCCTCCATCCGGCCATGGGATTAGGAGGCCTCATTGCTTGTCGCTGACTCCAAGTTAAGAGAATCCTACCTCTGGAGTATTTGCTTGGAGGAGTGGACCCTTTATGCGAGGTGATGGGAGAGACAGAGTGCTGGGTGTCACAGCACTAGGGGACAGAAGGTGGGAACTGTTTAGGGCCTGCTGTTTGTCTGCTGAATGTCTATGGATATGCTGTAAGATTTAGTCTAGGCTTGGCTTTCATTGTAAGTTGATGGCAAACTGAGGCAGTGGCCAATGCCCACACATTTTACTATTTTTAACAGCTGCAAATGTCAACCAAGGGACTTTTGGAGTTTACTTATGTTGTTTGCAAAGTCATTGATCCCTAACAGGTTCTGCAGGTGTGAAGTGGAGGCCCAAGGATCACACTCCCAGCCTGCGCCTCCATCCTGCCCTGAGAGCTGTGGCCAAGCAAAGCCAAACTCAGGTGCAGACCTGGGGAACCAGGAGAGCAAACTAAATGGCCTGAGAATCAGTGTCTTGCAAGCAAAATGACTTTCAGGGGAAGACAGGTACCTTTCCACACATGTGAGTTCTGGGCTGTGAACCACAGTGGTTCCATGTTGATAAAACACGTGTACTGGGAGAAACCTGAACAGAACTACTGTGAAGAATGACTGAGAAGCAAGGCAAAAAATGCCACGAAAAGAAAACACTGCTTGCAGAGTATACACACACCAGTGCCTTCCCCACAGACAGTTGATCTCCCGATGATCTCGACAACCAAAGTCATCATCCCACCCTCCCCGTTGCAGCCAAAAGCCTCACTCACTGCACTCTTCAGTAAGCAGAATACAAGGAAATCACACAGCCCAGCGTGGCGGGAGATGCATGATACTTGGAGGCAGTGCATCTGGGCTCTTGTCCCAGCCTGACTCCTTACTGTTTGGCCCTCAAATCTCTTGGCTACGAAATGAGGCATCAGGTTCCTGGGGGTTGTAAGGGTTATAACAGAAGCTTTTGAAAAGCTCTTTTAAAACTACAAAATGCACTTAGCTGCTTATTGTCTAAAAAGTCTCCCTTAGTGCCTAAACTGGCAATATTGAGTAGCTAAACAACTGGTACCTGTCTGTGGAATTGATTTTCAGGAAGACTGAATTAGGTGCCTCTCTCACACTCTGCCTTAGCTTTGCTGACACTAAACATTGATCTAGCTCTGGCTATGTGCCAGGCACTGTGGAAAACCTAAAATTAATTAACTCAGAAGGTACTATTATTATTTAAGCACATTTCACAGATGCAGAAACCGAGTCACCGAGGGGCTAAATAACGTGCTCAGGGTTACAAAGCTCATGGGTGGACTGGTGGGGATCCCTGAGCAGGCAGCCTGCTACAGCGCTTGTGTTCTTTACTGCCACACTCCCTAGTAGTCCTGTGACTTGCTGTCTACTTCTGCCACTGAGATCAGGGAGTGCAGGGACATCATAGCTGGAAAAGCAGGGGACGGAGAAACATCTGTTGAATGAGGTGTTCAGTGCAGAATGCCTGGTACATAAGCAGTCCCCACCTATCAAATGAGTGGGCACTGTCCAGGACTCCCCTGTGAAAGGGGATGATGAAAAGCCATCGTTTTAATGGATGGGATAGCTGAAGCACAGCTATGGCACTTGTGCTTTTTCAACAGCTCTACAAGTCTCCCAGGTTTGTCTTCTGGGGTCACCACGGTGCCAGGAGAAGTGGAAGTGGCCACAAAAGCAAGCAGCAGATGAAAAGCTGGTCTTTGAACCCAGTCCACCTGGCCACCCACAGACCTCGGTGTGGGAAAGCACTGGGGTCTCAACAGATGTTTCAGGAATCTGGCCCCGCCCCCAGTTTTCTGATAACTAAAATCCCTTAAAGAAATAAAGAAGATTACAAAACCTAATGAGATGTGGAGGTCTTTTTATTTCACTTCAAAAAGTGAAGGGAGGGCCCCAGTTCTGCTCCACCGGCAGGGCTCCTTCTTCACGGCCAGAGGACTGACAGACACACTGTAGAGGCTGCAGGGCTGCAGATGTGTTAAGGGACAGGCAGGGGACATCAGTGGGAAACAGGATTGGTGGGTGTTGGGGAGCAGAAAAGGGGGTCGGATCGCCCTCAGCTGCAGCCTTACTGCCTCACGGGCCTGTTGTTGCCAGGACATAGATTTACCCAGAGTCGTTAAAATCCTGACTTCACTCAGAAGCTCTCATTTAAATCAGTAAGGGAGTCCAAGGCAATTTAAATCACGGTGGGAGTCAAACTAAGCAGGCTGGGATTGGTGGTGACTACCAGCTTGCCATCTCTGAATTAGACACCGAAAAGTCAGAAGTCATAAATCTCGCCAGCCGCTCCCAGATGGGGGTGTAATGTGGCAGTACTGAGGGGCGGGGCGTATTGGCTGGCCCCTCAGGTCTGCTGGACAGAGGGGTTCCCACCCGGCAGTCACCCTACCCCTGGTTCCGCTGGTTCTCTTCAGTTGTTCCTCTGTGGCATTACTGCCACCTAGTGGACTTCGCCGGAAGGGCCTTGTTCTTAGACCCTTGAGTGGACCTCTACAAAGGCCAGGGGTTGGGTTGCTGGGGGGCCAGGGTGACAAGTAAAAGGCAGAGCCAAAGCCAGTCACCACACATGAAACGGAGGCCACATTTTGGAGAAGCATAAACTCCAAGCTCTGGGAGCCTGAGACAGGGCCAGAGGAAGTCAGTGGACCTCTGCCTTGGTGTTTTCTCCGATTGCTCGGTTCTACTGGACTGAGCCTGGGTCAGAGCAGATAGAATCCGGCCCTCTGCTGCAGGGGCGGCCCGAGCCCACAGCGCGAAAGCCACATCATCGCTGGAAACTGCCAGCCTGATTCTCTAAGCCTCGGGAGAAACCAGGTACGTGGGAATCCCCGATCGCTGCTTATGGCTGAGTTTATCCTGTTTCGTGGGGATAACACGTGGATTTACAGTATTTAAACTCCATTATATCATGTGTGCTCTTCCAGCTATTTGAACATTTTTTCCCTTCATTTTTGAGATCATTTCCCATCCCTTTATTTTTCAGTAAAGGTCAAACTTTGTTTCTACTGTTCCAAACTCTGCTGCATCTCACCAGACGTGTTTTCCTAAAACTCATTTGCTTAAGGAAACCTGTCTCCCTGGGAAGTGCCCCCGCCCCCCCACCTGGGTATCAGTTTGCCCTGCAGGCATGCTGTTGCAGCTCCACGCAGTCCCACGGGCCTGTGAGCTCTGCTTCCCACGGAAAAGGTCAGCCACAGGAATGGACTATTTCCTCTACTTTTTCCATGAAGGCCCACATAGGCCCTGTGCACATGCTGGCTGTGGACGCTCAGCTTTTCCTGATGTAGGAGCCTCCATGCCCCATGTCACCAGTAGTTTCGCTGTTGTTACTGTTGTGAAAGCAGGGAAAATAATCTAGTGGACTATTCAGCTTTGAGTACTTGCTTCATGACTTGTGCCAACTGAGACATGTTATTTTGGGGTTGCTTCTGTGCACAGAACCAAGTTCAGATCTCTGGAAAGACAGAAAAATGAAAGTACCAGAGCAAAATCAGAAAACCTGGGGTTTCTAAGTCCTCACTCTGTCACTAACTTCCACTTTCAGAAAGGGCACGTTTGTCTGGAGGTTGAGATTTTTCCAGTTGTAAGATGAAATGGGTCTGAAAGCATGCGTAAAGGCTGTTAGATGTGTCCCTGGTCAGCTGTGTGGGATGTAGCTCCTGCTGTCTGCTTGCTTCCCAGCCTTAAACATCCAGAGCTCTGCACGGGAGAGTCATGTGGGTTACTGGATGGCATGTGCAAGGAGTGGTGGGGCATATTAACAGCTACAGCGCCAATCCTGTGAGCAAACAGATGGGTGGGAGGGGGTGGGGGCGGCTGCACAACAGGTCACACAGAAGAGAATTCCAAAGGTGGTTAAAAGTGGCAACCAGAGATGGTGGAAACTCCCAAGAGGCCCAGCAGACACCACCAGGCAGAAACCCAAGAAAAAAGTTACCCTTGCTTGTCTCCAAGAGCAGTGGCTATCAATGGGGGATGGAGACAAAGGGGATTTCTAGAGTCCTTGTAGGATTAAAAATTCCATTAAGTGGAGTAATTTGAGACTAACAGGGAATGTCTTAATCTGGACTTTCCCAATGACCAGTATTAATCTTACTGTTAGCCATCCAGGTCAGAATTAAACTGGGAAACAGCCCTCAGTGACTTTGAGACAAGGAGTTATAGAGAAAATGAATTTTTATAGTAACATCAAAATGGCTAATGACCACTGCCTTTTACATTACCCATCACTTCTGGGGAAGAAGCTGGTCTGGGGAGCTGAGGCGTTCAGGGGCAGGTAGGGCCAGGGCCAAGTAAGTGGTTTCGGTGTGGGCTCACCACTCTCCTGAGCTCGGCCCCACCACCCTTCCACCACAGGGCCGCTGTGTCTCAGTCCTCAGAGGATAGAGACCAGGGATCAGATGGGAGCCATAAAGAACAGGAGGCAGAAGACAGGAAAGCAGCAGAGGTCAAATTCTCCAGAGAACCTCTAGGCTCTGGAGGTGGCACTGAGGGCTTCCGGCACCAGCCAGTGCAGGATGTAGCTTCTGCTGTCTGCTTGCTTCCCAGCCTTAAACATCCAGGGCTCTGCACGGGAGAGACATGTGGGTTACCAGATGGCATGTGCAAGGAGTGGTGGTGGGGCATATTAACAGCTACAGTGCCAATCCTGCAAGTGCAAACTCACAACCCAGAGTGAGTAGCTGGAGTAACGGGACTAAGAATCTGAGGTCCAGTCAGGATGGCACTGACCTTCCCACATTATGAAAGTATGCAGAGACCTTTGCTTTATAAGGTGGTTGCCTGAGTGACCCAAAAGGAAAAAAACATGTAATCAATTACTTGTACTGTAATAATACAGGTGCCCACATAGATCACCCTCCAGGGTAGTATGTGTATTTTATGTCACTACCAGTTGTTGCTAACAGGGTTTTGATGTGAAAAGGCTGGATTTCATTCTGAGGACTGCTGGTCTACAAATGAGTCAAGATGGCCAGATAATTTAGGTCAAGGTGAGTTTATTGTCCAAATAGCATAACCTAATTGCATCCAAAACCATTTTCAAATCCATCTTTAAACTAGTCAGAATAACAGATTGTTATTTTTTAAAATCACTTAACACTGAACAGATAGGACCTCTTAAAAGGTAGCTGACTATACGTCACCATCATCATAGCTGATAAAACATTTTTCCATACTTCCTAAAAACCTTGTTTATACTGATCATGCTACTTTAGCACTTGCTAACATCCCGACCCAATAAACACCCACACCTCTTATAGAGTACACTGTGAGAGAATAACATTGACTCGATATGGCATCACACTTGTTTTAAAGCAAAAAAAAAAAAAATTTATAATAATAATAAAAGAAGTCCAAGACGAGAAACTGTAACTGAGAGAGATCTGAGGTACATGGTACAAGGGTAATGAACATAATGGAAAAAATCCAATGGCCCGTTGATTTGCTGGGGATTTAAGAGCTGGCCAGCAAGCAGTAAGAGCTAAAACCAATTAAACAAAACAAAACGTTTATTTTTTATAGGACAGGCACCTGTCAAAATACACTGGATACTGTAATGGCTACAGTCAGTAAGGCACTTTTTTTCCCCAAAGTAGGCTGCAGGCAAAGGAATAAATGTTGCACCTCCAGCATACATGGATACATTTGCTGATGGCTTCTTGAAACCTGAGCCGAGAACAGGGTCTGATGGCCCAGGCAGGTCTAAAAAAGCAGACACACACCAATGTAGAATAGTTCTGGCCGGAATGACTGTTCTGGGTTGTTTAGAATCCAGAATCATGAAAAGCCACATGGTATGAGGAAGTCATAAGCATCCTCTTGAGTCCACCTGCCCTATTTTGTACAATTGGACAATGGCATGAACAGCTCTTGAAAACTGCTCTGCGCCCACACCATTAGAAGCCTGCACCCATTCTACAGCTACGGTTCAGGGACTTTACCATCTCAGCACTAATTTCCCTTTTAAAGCTATTCTCAGGGTTGGACTGTCTCAAAGATAAACAAAGGAATCCTTTTGGCTTAGAAGCCAACTGGCTTACTCAGACCTCCTCCCCATTCCTACCTCGCATTCCCACACTACCATTATCTTCTTGAACTAGAAAATCATTATTTACATGATATAAGGTGCAAGTCTATTTCTTGTCTCAGCCCTGCCCCATGGCCCATGGAGAGAAAATTCCCTGCCTTCTTTGAGTCATCCAATCCTGCCCAGTGTCCTCAACCTGTCAGTCCCAGAACTCCCAGGACAGAATGGGATGCCTAACAGTGCTGGACCACAGGAAAGCTACAGCTGCCTCTGAAGGGAAGCCCACCTGCAAGCAAAGGCATGCAGTGCGATGCAGTCGGGGCCCCTTGCCCCAAGTCCCACCTGCCCCTGACCTGGGTGGGGAAAGCAGCAGAGCAGAGCCTCTTGTACAGAGCCCGGAGTACAGGCAGCACCTGTAAGCTGTGGTGAGCTCCTCAGTGGGGTCCTGGGGCAGTTCCAGAATAAAGCCTCCTCTAAGAAAAGCACCCCCTGACACACACTCTGAGAAGCTCCTCTCAGCTTGTGGAGACAGTGCTGAGGACCTGTCCCCTGCTTCCACCTGCAGGCTTCTTGGCTGTTACGAACCCGCATGGAACTGAATTATGCTTAGCATATGTTTTTGGCATACTACGATCTTCCCCCTTAGAATTTGGCCAAAATGGGGGAAGGAACATAATTTGACAGGCTAGGGGAACAACTTAACCCCCAGTGATGGAGAAAGACAACAACAAAAATTCAGAGCGAGGAGCCAGTAAGGAAGGGGGAGGAAGACAACAGGCAGGAAAAGACCAGACTGGGTTGGAAC